TTTTTATTTAAAATGGGAGTTAAACCAGGCCATGCACAGTAAACAAACCATTATAAAAAAAAATTGGATACATGGGTGCCAGTACCAAAAAAATTTTTGAAAAATGGGAATTAAGCAGGCCACATGGTTTGTGGCAGCAAACAGTAACACAATTATAAAGCTTTATAAAGCGAATTGAATGTATGGAAAAACAGTTGTTAAAAATTATGAGAAGCCGGTTTAGTGCTCTTCTACCCCACATGTTTGCCCCTGTTTGAGCTTGCCCGTTGCCTTTCTTCTTAGAGGCAGATTGTCTGCTCATTATCTGTTTAAGTGCATTTTTGCTCATTATAAAAATGAGATTGTCTTATTGTCTCTTTGAATGCATTTTTGCTCACCATCATTTATTGTGGTGTATGCTCATCATTCTTGCATAACCTTTTCATGCATTCTCCACTGTTTTGCCACGCGTCGATTATCGTGGATAAGCTCTCGTCAATTGCATCTCTCCCAAATGAAGGTGAATTGTCTGCCTTCCCATTTCCATACTCTCCATATGCCCTTCTGTGATATGGATGTGGATTCTCATCTTTCTCATTTTTCTCAACCAAATCATTTGTGCAAATTTCTTGCGTTTAAAACCCTTGGAAAAATTAATAGTTGTTGCATCTTGCGTTTAAAATCCCTGGGTCAGTACTGAACTACTGATTATGTTGGTTTTTCGATTTTATTAGGGTGTATTTGTTACCTCCAAGGTCCACCTCTGTTTCGTGGTGAGTTTTTTTAACCTTTATAGTTTTGTTTTAATTTATTTTTTTTTGTAGTTTTTCATGTTCAAATGGGATTTTTGTATGAATTTTTCTTCTTCTAATTCTAGGTGTTTTCTTTATATCGTTAGATCCAATGTTTAGGTGACACACCCTGATCCAAATATCGGGGTGTGTTGGCCGTCACGCGAGGATTACGTAGCCAAGTGTGCATTGCGGAAGTACTAGAGTGGAAATACGAGGAAAATAAAGCCGAACAAGATAATTACAATAAAAGATCAATGAGTGGTAGTGACAAAAATGGAAGGAAAATGCAAAATAGAAGTTCAAATATCCTAGGTGCAATCCAAAATAAACAAGTACTACATAAGCGGTAACTAGAAAATCCTACATGGAGGGTGCTTTGTCAGAACTACCCCGATGCCTCGTTCGCCACCAATGTCACCTCTACCTAAAACCTGGAGGGGCGCAAAACAGAAAATGTGAGTGGGCAAAAACAAAGTTTTTCCAAAACCATTTCAATATCGAGTAATAACCCCTCTTTGTAAAACCCGTATACTTTCCTAGAAATACTATACGTACTCGTATAATAATTCATGCGACAAACAATAAAGCTCAAATATGTCATGCCAAAAAATGCCATGTTAGAATATCTAATCAAACAGTATAAGCATCAAGCAGGTGAGATAAAACAAATCGTAATATGCTGGTAATATCAGTACTTCAGCCGGAGTCACCTAAAGTGACCTGTACGGCTGAATCTATAGCTCCTCAACCATTATCCTGCACACGAGTTGGAATAATTTATAGTGGTTTGTACGACAGGCTACTGTAAATAAATACGCTCAGTGCTACGATCACGTGAAGGTTGTGCTATGTATCGCAAGTCACCTACGAGTCGGAACCACTTATAATGGTCTATACGACAGGCTGGCACCTGCCCTGGATCCAAGGTGAGCGTACAGTGCGGGAGGTGAACGATCACGTGAAGGCTAAGCCCTACTCTAGCGGAGCACAAACACCGAGGTGCAGGAATATAAGCTATAACTCAATCTCGTCGTCACCACAACTATCACTAACAAACATATTCATCTGACTTACCTAAGCATCTGAGGTACTAAAGCATAACCAACGCAATCACAAAAATAATAGTATCAATGATATTCGACATGGCATTTCAATTATAAACCATTTCAATATAAAACCATTAAAACATAAATTCTGGAAAAATACCAATCATAATATATATATATATATACTAAAAACAAAAACCCACTCACTGACACGTAAAAGGGTCGTAGGCCTCGAGCCTCGTGTGGCTGCGCTCGTCCTCATGATAGTCCTTACTAAAAACAAAAACCCACTCACTGACACGTAAAAGGGTCGTAGGCCTCGAGCCTCGTGTGGCTGCGCTCGTCCTCATGATAGTCCTCACCTATACCAACATGCTTTACTCAATCCACGAACACCTCCATATTTTTAGAAAAAATTTCTGAAGCCTCATGCGCCCTCACGCGCTAGCCAAGGCACAGCCACACGCGCATCCCATGCGCAAGCACGTGCCTGGCACACGGACGGAATCCTTGTCATTAACTCAGTTGCAGCTGGAGGTTTTGTGGTTAGGAATGTGCTTAGGAACCCTCTAATTATGGGTGCTTTAAATTTGGGCCATAATACCATTAATGTGGATGAGGCCTTAGCTCTCCAGGAAGCTATCTATTAGGCATAGAGGAAGAATTTCTCCCATTTCATCGTCGAGGGCGACTCAAAGCTGATCATTGATGTTGTTCAAGGGAAGTGCGAGATGCCTTGGAACTTGAGATCCATCCTTGAGGATGTTTAGTGGTGTGCCAGCACTTTTCAGGAAGTTAGGTGGTGTCATATCTTTAGGGAAGCTAACTTTGTCGCCGATGTTTTAGCTTCTATTGGTATCAAGTCCATTTATCCTTATATTTAGGATGCCTGTATTCTGGTCAAAACTTCAAATGCTTTGTTGTTTGATGCTTTCGGAATTGGTTATACTAGAGGTTCTTCTCTTTAATGAATTTCATTTTCTAGCCAAAAAAAAAAAAAAAAAAAGTAACAATACATCATTTTACCAAAAATCTAAAACCATTTATTAAAACTATAAAACCTTTCATTAAAACATCAAACATGATCATAGTAATGCTTACCTAGAAATATAGACATATAAAATCAAGGAAAACAAAGAGAGAATGATGGAAGTACCGGTCGCTTTGGATCACGGAGACGATAGGATAATTTGAAGGCAAAAGAAGCTTGGATGTCAAGGTGTCCCGGGCTTCAAAACTCTCCCTCCCCTGGTTTATTATAATAATTTTGAACCACTCCCACCCCTTATAGACATGTAAATTTTGGTGAAAATAAATGTTCACCAACACATTAAATTTTGACAAGCTGGGCTTATATGGCATGCACCATGTGACTCACAAATCGTACACATGGCATGTGACTCATCAAAACTAGACGAGTCCTCAAGACGGACACGTGTCAACATTTGGTGGAAATCAAATATTAATTGATGAAATTAAATCTCGAACCAAGGCACAAATCAAATCTTAGTTCTTTTGTAGACAAATTTAGAGAGTCTATAAATACAAGGCTCCAGGAAACTCCTTACATTCTTCATCAAACTCGTGAAAAATCATCAAGCACCACTACACATGCCAATTCTTCCATTGCCACAAGGCAAACCCTTACAACAGTCGTTCATCTGAGATCAAGTCATTGTGACCCTTGGACCAACAATTCCCTACACACATTTTATATTCCAGAGACCAAATCAGGGGATTCAAATTTGTAGCAGAGATTGTAAACCCTAAACATTTACATTAATACAAATATAATTTTGTACACGTGTTCTTGTCTCATTTGTCATAGGAAATTCGTGTTTACAAATTTGTCACACTCAGTGGGACAATCTCTACCTCTCATAGCTTTCTCCATTCAAAAAATCCAAACACACTTCGAAATCAATGGCTACCAAGAAGGGTCAAGCTACTCTCGTAACCAAGAGAATGAGCATCAACACTTCTGCTACAAGCAGAGAATCCATTGGTGTCATAACTCAGGGAAAGTCAAAGGCGGTGCCCATGCTTCAACACGCCACTTCCAAGTTGGTGACACTAAAGAAGCAAAGGGAATGCCAGAGGCGCAAACCCGTCATCAACCTAGCCTTGTTAGAGGCACTAAAGCATACTATAGCAACACAAAAGAAGACGTCCTAAAGCAATGAGTGGCATTCTTTGACTTCAAATGATTCAAATGAGCATTCCTTGTCACCAATTTTGGATAAAGCCTCAGGCGCAAGATTGTACCGTAGATCGTCAAGTAGCGACAGTTGCATAAAAACTTTGTTGACACCCTCGATGTATGTAAAGAGTTTCATCATTTGGTTGCACAAGTTATGACCACCAGTGCCACCTCAATCAAAGAACAACTCACACAGATGAACGAGGCGATACCAAAGCTGACCAGGACTGTCAATGAGAATGACATGCAAATCACTATGCTCATGAGCAGGTTGGAGTTGCAGACCCTAACCCAAAGAAGAATAAGCATGACGAGGAATTTGGCGAGGAGGAGGTGCGTTGTGTCGACAACGCTGGGGGAAACAAAACCCAGAGTCAGAAGCCATGTTAATGGGCTCTCTTTTTATCCAACAACTTCAGAACATGATCGCAAACACCATCAGAGCATAGAATGAAGGTGCTTCGCAAGGTACACTGATGTATTCCAAGCCATACACCAAACGAATTGATAGCTTGCGGATTTTGACTAGCTTCTAACGTACTATGTTCATGCAATTTGAAAGGGAAGGCAATCCAAAGTAACACACAACTCATTTCGTCCAAAACTTGCAACAACGCTTTAGACGGAGGGAGACTACCTCATGAAGCAATTTGTTCAAAGCATAGTGAATAATGCTCCTTTAATGAAATTTTCAAATGCCAACTATACTCCTACATGTTTTACAACATTACAATCTTTACCCCTACATTATTCTCTTTAGCGAATCGCATTAAATACCTTATCATTTTTAGTCATTTAACATATTCACAACAGTTTTGTATAAAAAATTACCAAACACTCGAACATTGTTTTTTTTTTTTTTTTTTTTTTGTTAAAAGAACTTTTACAATAAAGGTTTACCAAATACTCAACAACTTTATTTTACAACACTGTTTATTTTCATAGCACAACAGAAGTAGTTTTTTTTTTAAAACACAGCAATACCAAACTAGCCATAAGGCTATACTCTTAGAATCACCTTATTTAAGTCATATCTCTAAAAGGCTCCCAAAGATAAGTACCAAAGTCATCCTATTCAACAAGACATCATAAAACATCGATATTCTAACAACAACGAAACCACATCATAGTGGCACTGGATCGATACAAATTGAAGCAACACTATCTTTCGTCACCTTCCCCACATGTGTGAATCCATCTTCCTGTTTGTAAAGAAGATCAGTTACTCTTGTTAAATTGAGAACGCGCATAAGAATAGGCATTGGCACAGAAGTTGGTCTAAAGAACTCCACGTTTATATCCTTCCACAAATCCGTAATTTGCTTCTGAAAAACATCGACTGTCTCTTGCTCTGACAGCCCATATTGCTTCATGTAGCAATCAACACTAGAAGCAGCATGCCCTCTCTCTTTCTCAAACTGCAAAAGTTAAATCCAAAATTAATGTCTTAGGATCTTGTTGTGTTGAAATAATCACACAAGAAGTTGATAAAATTATACATACGTTTGTCGAAACAATGTCATCCATGAGCCTAAAAATGGTATTTGCAGCTCTAACAATTTTGGGGTCAGTGAACAACCACTCAAATGCTTCCTTTGTCACAACATCTCCCATGCCAAGTAAAGATATGGTTGTAAGAAAGGTGTAACTAATCGAAACTGTTGCAACGCGCATATACTCCTCCATACTTGGAACTCGTCCCTCGTGCAACCATCGGGCCTCATTAAAATAAGATCGAGCTTGATCTTTCATCTGACGAAGCAAGGCTATATACGTTAATTTACCAGTTAGAAAAAAAGTTCAAAAGGAAAGTTCTGCATATGTTTATGTACTACGTACAGCTTGTATTGCATATGGAACTCGGTATGATCTTCCTTCCTTCGCCATCTCTGCCTCAATATCATTGTAGAGATTTAAAAGTGCATGATAAAATGTTTGCATATATTCCGGGAGTTCATCAATGCAATTGACATCCCACCTGAAGCGCTAGCATAATCATCATCGTAATCATTGGAATAAAGTAGCAGTTTTTAATTATTTTTAACAAATAGTTATTATTCAAATATCTCAAACCTGTCAATCGCTTCAGTAAAGACTACGAGCTCTTCAAATGTACCAAATGCGTCGTAGATATCATCCAATATTGTCAGCAAGACACTTACTTTTGTCATAATATTTCTCCCCAGAGTACTGGGGTTCAAAATACACTCCGACGATCCAAAAGTACAACTCTACCATCTTATCTCTTGCAAATGGAAGCTTCCTTTCAAAGTCTAGTGCTCTCCACCACCTAAATATATTACTTACCTATTAAGTACTTCGAATTCGAAAGTTATATATATATTTGGTGCCATCTTGCAAACTAATAAGATCATCTTAATTACCTAGTAATCTCTTGGAGCTCCTTTTTGTGCAAAAGCTGAACAAGATTGAAGTCTAACTTTGCAAGTTTCAGAAGAGAGACATTATGTGAAGCTTCTTCTTGGTAGATTGAAATGTAACGTCGCGCAGATAATCTCTCTAGACTTTTTCGCAGGGGTCTTTCTAGGGCTTGAGTTATTTGTGTAGAGAGTGGATTGCTTACGCAGGTTGCTGCTGACTCAAGGTGAGTGGTGGTGAATACAAGAGCCTCTTCTAATATGTCTTCTCCATGCACCCTCAGATGTGTTGCTTCGTAAAAGCTTAGCATACCAGACACGTCATCAATCAAGTTTTCCTTGAAGCTACTACTTTGATCCTTGAAATTGGTGAATATGGCTGCATGATTTTCAGAAAATAGGGACACAAGAATTAAGAAAGTTTTAATAGTAACTCAAAATCAAATAATTAATTAAGTTAATTTGTTTACACCTACCACATGAAACATTATACCCGTGTTGTCTTAGCAGCCGGAAACCAAGAGCAACAGTGTACAGATCAACATCATCGTTGCCATGGTCACCATTAAATGTAGCATGCGTACGTTCAAGTGCTTTCTCGATTTCTCTTTCAAAATGGTATGCCACGCCAAGGCGCTGGATTGCATCAATCAACTTTAGCTGAAGTGAAAAATCAGTTGCACTGGTTATCAATAGATCCCTCACAATTTTTTCGAGTTCATCAACTTGTTGTTGACTGTGAGCTTGTGTAATCTGCAACAACAAATTATTTACGTGAGTAAAAAATGTCAGAAAACGTTTTGAGAAAATTAAAGTCACGTGCAGGATTAGCTATAAGGCAAATTTGAACCACATTATTGTTAAGCCATTGTAAGACTAAGTCATCTCCTCTCCCTTAATGTAGATACTATCGTTTATTAGAAAAAATAACTAAAGTTTCCACCAAATTTGAAAACTCACAAACGAAGATTTTCAAAAAAGGAAAAGAAAAACCGCTGTGGTGTTGTAGAAAGAAAATGTTCATGCTTGCATAATATGTATTACAATGTCTTGGGAATCATCATAATTTATGAACTGATCTCCCCAAATGCTTGGGTGAAAATTTGCCGTCCGACGAGCAACTTCAGGCTTGGGATTTTGTGATTGAGCTTCTGCTGAGTCTTGGATTAATGCCATGTCTTCCATGCTTTCCTGTTGGAAAATTTTAGTCAATTTGAAGAACAATGCGTGGACGATCACGTCTATATATAGGCAAGCAAATGTAGAATTTGATAACACTCAGATTCGTAAATCATGTGAAAAATCTGTAAAGTGTGCAATGATTTGAATGTCAGCGAACGGCAATGCTCCCTTCCACGTTTTATGAGTGGGAGCCCTTTATTCAGGGGTCACATAATTGCTGGGACGTTTGGTAGTTTGTCCTTTTCCACTTTATGGCATTATTTCAATTTAGCTTTACAATTTCTAGCACGATCCGTTAATTCGATACAAAGCAACACGAAATTAACAAGTTATCCAGTGACCAAATAACGAATCAAGTCGTTATCAGATAACTGGATAAACACTTGTTAAGATAACGGATTGGTCCGACTATACACGTGCGTAATCCTATACACTATAAGCAAAATACTAATTTAATAATAATTTTATATCCTTAAAAATACTATAACAATTATATATATATATATATATATATAATCACACATATATATAATTATATATATTAAATTAAATTTAGAAAATTTGGAAAAAGAGGTAATGCATTTTTATATGCTATAGTTCTATTGTTTTGTTTCTTTTCATAATTATTTTGATAAACTTCACATAATTTGAATGATTTATAATGTTTAGTTTTTCCATACTTAATTTATGCGGAAGAGAGTTCTCATGTGGACAACCTTACTGAAAACATCATCAACATAACTTTTGAAGGTTGATCAAGCCAAAGTTCCAATACAATTTCCCCATAATGATCGATGAAAATTGAAGGATTTTGGAATATGAATAACATGCAAGCTTTGAGTTTCATCGGCAAGATTTTAATTTCTAAGAAAGTCTTCACAACCTTGAAAAGAAAAACTCATTCATTTTGCATATCCTTGCACATTTGATATTTTGTAGTAAACTAGTAGTGTATTGGTGCTTTTTTATTAGTCTTTTATTTTGGAGTGTAGATGTAGTACTTAACGGCAAATATGTTTTTATGTTTTAAAGTAATATTTATGTGACAATGTGGTATGTGCAAATTTAAGAAAAAAAATATTTTTTTAATGGGTTGGGTCATTTTACTTGTTGGGTAAAGTGACCCAACCTGTTAAAGACTCGTTAAGATAATAGGTGTTACACAAAACACAGCAAACATGACCTGTTTGCCAGGCCTAATTTCAATGTCGATGTTTCTGGCATGTGAGGAAGATGTATGAAATATGAGAACACTTTGTATGGAACGAGGTTAATTGTTAAGTGACATTCTTGACAAAAGTTGCGGTTTTATCATCAAATAATGAAATATATGTAGAGTAACACAATTACTTATTAGTACATGTAAAATTTCTTCTTTTATAGATGTGTGATTCATAATCTCAATAGTTTCTGTTCATAATACCATGTAGCAGAAAATTCTATTCCAATCCTTGAAAAATATTATTATTTTTTTTTAATAAAACCTTGTATAATATTAAAAGCTTACTCTAGTCCTTGGCATTTAATTGTAATTTTCAAATATTAATTTAGTTGTAATAATTATTGAATTTTTGTGTGTAGGTTGTACGTTAATTATGTAACGCTCCCTAACCTTTTAGTATCATTCCAAGGTGATCCTAACCTTTTCAAACATTGCAAATATGTATCCAATTTTTTGAAAACTCATTTCCATTAAGTGCTAGTTAAATTGAACGGGAAAAAAAATTAATTGGAACTTAAACAAATATGACACTTTCAATAGGTTGGTGTGTGATAATGGGGGGCGTCAATACTTCAGTGCAGTGCATTATTGCACAATTGATCTTCCAACTACATATTCTCATATGGTAAAGTTGGATAAATACATGCCTACTATCATTGAAGAATGACATATTTCACCTGTTGCGAATATTCATCGTATGAATTCAATTATTGGAAATATTCAATTTCTTAATTTAAAGATCATTTTTACAAAAAATTATTCAATTTAGAGATCGTCTATACATCCAAATATATAGAACAAACTAATAGTTTGAGTATTGAGTACCAACTAATATATTCACGATGAACCATCTGTTAAACCAATGGTAGGAGCAAAATACCTAAAATTTAGCATCGTATTTTCAACTATTCATTTATACATATTTTCAACTATTTTGTTCATTTCATTTATTTAATTTTATTTTGAATCTGAAGATAATATTTAAGGAATGAAGTACCAACTACATATGAGAATGTATTTTAAATTTATCACGTAATACATGTGAGTAAGTTAAAACTCATTACAACACAAAATAGGCTTGAAACACTTGATAACACGTAATAATTTTGTTCCCGCTTGTGATTGATGTTTATCCTAAATAAGCTTAGATGTTCTTCTAATGCATATGCATGCTAATTATTAAGAGACTGAAAAAATCAGTCAAGCTCAAGGCACAAGAAAGGTGGTGGACGGATGGGAGATGGCATAAGGTTTTAGTCAAGGACATTAGTGGCTAAAGAGCACATCCAATGTCTTCTTGTTTTTTAATTATTCAATCAATATATTGTTCGTTTGAGCCTTTACAGTTGGGTCTTTAAAAACAATATTGAGATTTAAAAACTTACTTTTCGCATAACCTAATATTAAATATTTGCGTTTTTATTTTTTGCGTATATGTGTACTAACAAAAAAAAATTGGGGGCCCTCTTTGATATGGGGCTCAGGCAGTTGATCTTCTCGCCGTTAGTCAGAGCATCTTCAGTGGAGTCCCTAAATAGGGACAACCAAAGTTTAAAATGGGTATAAAAAAATATAGGAACAAAATGAGTCTCCAATGGATCGTAATGTGCGTCCTAAAGTATAGGGTATAAAAGCCCAGATCTGAGACAAGCTCAAGAAAACTAGAAATTAAGAACACCAGAAACAAAGAAGAGAAATAAAACATGAAACTGAGGAGAGGGGACTTGAACCATAAAATATGGGAGGGAAGAGAGAGAAAAGGGAAGGGTGGCTAGGCTTTGCTAGAAACGTTTTAAATGTGGAAAAAGAAAAGAAAAAAAAAGCTAGAGCTCCTATTTCCTTTTTCTTTTTCTTTTCCACCGATTTAACGGGTGATGGCATTTTATTATTAGGATACCGGGAGACTTTTGTTTTTTTATCCCCCTCTATCCAGCATATTCTATGGCCATGATGATGACCTTTTATTTTATTTTATTTTTTTTGTCCTTTTCAACATATTCAAGGAAGATGGCGATTGCCTTTGAATTTTTTTTCTTTCCAACAGATTCAAAAAAGATGGGTGGGTTTTTGTTTTTTTCAAGTGATGTCTTTTTAGTCATGACTCATAATCCAATCATGGAGCTCAATAATGAGCCATGATGTTCAATAATGTAATCATTCTAATTACGGTTTTTTTTTTAACACAAAATTTGGTATCAAATTTGATTTTTTTTTTTGTCAAAATATTTTACGACAACGTAATACGAAATTAATTAAAAAAAAGTTAACACAAACAAAAAAAATTCATCTAATCAAATTATTACTTAAAATTATAAAAACCTCAAATTTAGGAATTCTAACTCTTCTATTGGAGATAATATTCTTTTAGAGATAGGAAGATTCCCTTAAAGTCCCTAAATGAGTCCTCAAAGGTGACTGTGGAAATCCATAAATAGAGACTCTCATTGAAAAGGCTCTTAAAATAATCGTGCTTATTCTTTGAGAATTAGTAGAGTACAAAGTTTTAAAATGAGGACTCTTGCCAAAAAAAAATTGTGCATCTTTTTACCCTTCAATTTGTCCTACTTTTGTTAGGTTGGAGTTAATTAATCCGAACGTATCTACATGATTCTCGCATGCATTATAATCTTTTATTATAATTAGTGTATACATCATACCTAAATAGAAATTGTTACAACCTTATACATATTTTACCTAAATAAAAATTGTTATAACCTTATACATATTTTAATATTTATCACATACTAATACAAAGAGTCATTTCTATACGGTATCACCATTGTCTACCTAGCCTACCACAGACCTGCACTTTGCTTCCCTGTGTTTCGTGTAGGCTTGCTGCACCAGTCTTTTGCAGCCCCATATCCCAGTCCAAGGCCGTGCGCTCATCTGTTGTGCCTTTGCGCCCTGCCACACCTGATCCTGCCGACCGCACTTTGACATCCGTACTGCCCCAGCCACATTAGTTCCGTGCATTCCCTTCTTACTATGATATAAAACTCATACATACTTTGTACGTGTCGTGATAAGGACTAATGATCGATACTTTATCTGTTACTATTAGATATTTAAATTGACGAAGGCAGATTGTTTGCCCTTCTATTGGCGTCGTCTTCTCATCCTTTCTTATTTATGCGATTATGGTTAAGTCACGTCAACATTTTATATTAATTTTTTAATAGAAATAATAAGACAAAAAAATCAATAGCAATATAAAATGTTGACGTGACTTAACCGTGACCCTACAAATAAAAGGGGATGGAAAAGGCACTGGTAACAGGAGGGCAGACAATCTGCCTCCTAAATTGACTTAGAGATTTTAATTTAGTAAAACATTTGAAGTTAGTTTGTCATATAAAACGTTTTTAGCTACATTTTATGGAGCAGATGTAAGTCACTTTGAGATGCGGTCCTTTTCAATTATACCATGGATCACAAAAGGAGGGAGTAGAGGGGGGGGATTCAACAATATTTTGTGGAGTAGATGTAACACGTGTTGAGATGCTGTCTCTTTCAACTATAGCACATATCACATAGAGAGAGGGAGACATATATATGATGTAATTCAGTATCACATTTGAAGCTAGTTTTTCATTAAAAACGGTTTTAGCTATGCTTTGTAGAGCAAATGTAACACATGTTGAGATGTTGTCCCTTTCTACTATAGCATGGATCACACAGGGAGGGAGAGGGGAGAGTCAGAGAGATATATAGATTAATTCAGCAAAACGTTTGAAGCTAGTTTTTCATTAAAAACCTTTTCAGCTATGTTTTGTGGAGCAGATGTAACATGCGTTG